AGAAACGGCGGCTCCATGACAAGGTTTGTGACCACGATGGACAGTTGTTACTGTCAAAAACCGGTCGTGCAGTCAACCGACCCTAATTTTTATGATCCTGTGATGAAACACGATTCGTGTAAAGGCTCAGCAATAATTTCGTTTGTCGTTTCCGCGTATTGGCAACAGCTCGTTGGTTTTTTGCCACCGGGAACTGTAATTTTTCGTAATTCGCACTTTTAGTTAATCGGTTTAAGCTAGTAGAGCATTTGCAGCTTGGCGAGGCAGTTGCCAACTGAAAAGCACGGTCTTTATATCGATCATCCTTATTTCGACAGAACGTAATGACAGGAGTTTCTGAAAACGTTTACTTCATATTTTGTTTCATTATTTCCTGTAGTTGCTTTGCAAACTGTTTGCTGTATTAAGCTTCAAATTACTCAAAGCGTTTCCTTACTTATGCTGAAACCATGCGTCAGTTACCAGTGGCAAATTCATACGATAGGAGTGAAAACGTGCTTTCAGCTCGAGGAGACCGATGCAACCGCATTTTGCAAGCTGGGGCACATATCTACGAAGCTGGATTGGAAATATGTTCAATGTTTTCTCCATCTCTGGTAAACGCGTACTTCACTAGTTAAAAGGTGTTGTTTTGCAAATCACGATTGTAAAGACAATGCTCATTCTTCGTTCGCACAGTCTGTCGAAATGCCTCTTTTGCCGATTGTTGGAAAGATATGAGTATTTTACCGGATGATTCCCATGGTCTTGCCTTCGAAGCTTTCACTACTTTTGTTGTAGTTCGATAAACTTTAGTAAAACCAATTCGCAAAGAAGACAGGAACTTACAGACAAACAGGAAAAACCAGGCAAAGCAGACTTTCTTCACTCTTCTGAAGGTGCCTTGAATTTCTGATCTCTACTGAAGAATTAGTTCTCATTGCAGAAGGGCAGTCTAAGAGTCTTAAAGGACAGGTCTGGACACCCTCTTTCCGACGATAAAGACAATCTTCGGCCATAAGACTACTTTGAGCACTCCTTAACCCCGAGAAACCGAGGGAAAACTCGCCCGTAGAGCTGCAGTGAACAGATATTGCTATTTCTTAGTATTCTGTAGTATTTCTGTAAATGAAATTACAGCAAAGCATTGAAAAGCTTGGAAAGTGCACAACCTGCTGGAATTGATGACATTTTCCCTACAATTCTCAAAGCGATAAGCGAACAGTGCGTATGCTGGCTTGGACGGGTCTGTCAAACTGCAATGTCTACGGTTAAAACAATAGCGGGGTGAAGAACGGGAGGTGCCGTACCCCTGTTCAAGAAGGGATACCTCAGGGAGTGCTGCAATTATCGGGGCATTACCTTATTGAGCCTTCCAAATAAAGTCTACGCTAAGGTGCTAAAAAAGAATGTGCCGCGGAATAACTGCCTCCCAGGTACAAGAAGAGCAGTGTGGCTTCCGGTCGGTCGAAACACCTCTGACCATATATTTGCCCTATGTCAGATTGTTGAGAAATCGTTGGAGTACGCCCAGCCGGTGTACATGTGTTTTGTGGACCTAGAGAAAGCGT